TGGCACCGCCGGGGGAGGGGGGGTTGGCACCGCCGGGGCTGGGGGGGTTGGCACCAACGGCACGGGGGGGGTCAGCACGACCACCGCCTCGGGGCTCGGCACGACCGCCGTGCCCGGCCCTGGCACAACGGGCATCGCTGGCAAAGGGGGGGGTGGCACCACCATCGCACCGAATTTTGGCACAAATGGCAAACCAGAGCCTGGCACCACTGGCAAAGGGGGGGTTGGCACACCAGGAGATGGCACTGCTGGAAAAGTGGGGGTTGGCACAACTGTCACACCAAATCTTGGCACAACTGGCAAACCAGAGCCTGGCACCACCAGCAAACCGGCTGTTGGCACACCAGGAGCTGGCACCACCAGAAAAGAGGGTGTTGGCACAAGCACTGCACCAAATCTTGGCACAACTGGCACACCAGGACCTGGTACCAACGGTAAAGGGGGTGTTGGCACAACCATCGCACCGAATCTTGGCACAAGTGGCAAACCAGAGCCTGGCATCGCTGGAAAAGGGGGTGTTGGCACAACTGTCACACCAAATCTTGGCACAACTGGCACACCAGGAGCTGGCACCACTGGAAAAGGGGGTGTTGGCACACCAGGAGCTGGCACCACTGGTAAACAGGGTGTTGGCACAACCATCACACCAAATCTTGGCACAAACGGCACACCAGGACCTGGCACCACCAGAAAAGAGGGGGTTGGCACAAGCACTGCACCAAATCTTTGCAAAAATGGCACACCAGGAGCTGGCACCACCAGCAAACCAGCTGTTGGCACACCAGGAGCTGGCACCACTGGGAAAGGGGGTGTTGGCACAACCATCGCACCGAATCTTGGCACAAATGGCACACCGGGACCTGGCAGTGCCACCAAACCAGGTGTTGGCACACCAGGACCTGGCACTGCTGGAAAAGTGGGGGTTGGCACAACCATTGCACCGAATCTTGGCACAAGTGGCACACCAGGACCTGGCACCACCGGCAAAGGGGGTGGTGGCACACCAGGAGCTGGCACCACCGGAAAAGAGGGGGTTGGCACAACCACCGCACCGAATCTTGGCACAACTGGCAAACCAGAGCCTGGCACCACCAGCAAACCGGCTGTTGGCACACCAGGAGCTGGCACTGCTGGCAAAGGGGGTGTTGGCACAACTGGCACACCGAATCTTGGCAGAACAGGACCTGGCACCAGCAAACCAGCTGTTGGCACACCAGGACCTGGCACCGCTGGCAAACAGGGTCTTGGCACAACCATCACACCGAACCTTGGCACAACTGGCACATCGGAGTCTGGCACCACCAGCAAACCAGGTCTTGGCACAACTGGCACACCGAATCTCAGCACAACCAGCACACCACATCTTGGCACAACAGGTCCTGGCACCACCGCCACAACAGGTTCTGGCACAACCAGCTCACCAGAGCCTGGCACCACCAGCAAGACAGGACCTGGCACAACCAGCACCCCGAATCTCGGCACAACCGGCACACCACAGCCTGGCACCACCAGCACAGCGGGTGTTGGCACAACTGGCACACCAAATCTTGGCACAACAGGTCTTGGCATCACCAGCACACCGGGTGTTGGCACAACTGGCACACCAGGTGTTGGCACCACCACCAGCACACCAGGTGTTGGCACAACCATCCCTCAGGGTGTTGGCACCACCACTGGCACACCGGGTGTTGGCACAACTGGTGCACTGAATCTTGGCATGAGTGGGACACCAGAGCCTGGCACCGCTGGCACACTGGGTGTTGGCACCACCACTGGCACACCGGGTGTTGGCACAACTGGTGCACTGAATCTTGGCATGAGTGGGACACCAGAGCCTGGCACCGCTGGCACACTGGGTGTTGGCACCACCACTGGCACAGCGGGTGTTGGCACAACAGGCACACCAGGTGTTGGCACCACCAGCGCACTGAATCTTGGCATGAGTGGGACACCAGGGTCTGGCACCACCAGCACACCGGCTGTTGGCACAACCACTCCTCAGGGTGTTGGCACCACCACTGGCACACCGGGTGTTGGCACCACCGGCACACCAGGACCTGGCACCAGCAGCACACCGGGTGTTGGCACAACCAGTACACCAGGTGTAGGCACAACTGGCACACCAGGTCTTGGCACAACCATCCCTCGGGCTGTTGGCACAACCAGTACACCAGGGCCTGGCACCAGCAGCACACCGGGGCTTGGCACAACCAGTACACCAGGTGTTGGCACCATGGGCACACCGGGTGTTGGTACAACGGGCACACCGGGTGTTGGCACCACCAGTACACCAGGTGTTGGCACAACTGGCACACCGGGGCTTGGCACAACGGGCACACCAGGTGTTGGCACCCCTGGGGGTGTTGGCACCACCGCCCCCCCGGCTGTTGGCACACCGGAGCCTGGCACCACCGCTGGCACCCCGGGTGTTGGCACCACGGGCACGGGGGGTCCTGGCCCAGCAGAGCCTGGCACCCCCCCCGTGCCC